AGCACATAGACTCGGCTTTGAAGAGAAATCGGTCTGCAGTAATAGTATTAGGAGAAAAACGAGAGGAATTTGTGAACGACTTTCTACGATATGCTAAAAATTTTTATGAAGAGCTTGAAATTTCTTTTGAACCCCCAAGACGGATCTGGAGGAGGCATATTTTTGGCGACGAAAATGTAGATGTTGGGTTGTCGTACGAGAACGAATTGAGGCGAAAAATGTTTACATCAACTTCAGTAGATAGAGTAACTGCAGAAATTCATGATCGATTCCCACAGCTCCAAAATCTAGCGCAAAAATATGCCTTTTAATGCCTGCAGTAATATTGAGCTAGAAGAATTTAACTTAGATCAAGCTCGTTGGGACATAAACACTGAAGAGTTCCAACAGGAGCCCGCATGTCTATGTGCGTTGCAGCTCCAATGGACCCAGACTAAAAAGGGCTTATTAAGTACGGCTGTCTGGGTTTATTAAAATACGTAATTGAGTCCAAGCTTGAAGATAGCTTACCAAACATTGTCATAATAAAAATAAAAAAATAAAATTAAAACTAATGTTAAGGATTTTTTTAACATCTACCATTGCATGCAAGTTGTAGGAGAAACTTTTTTTAAACTGAAGTTAATAAAAATTATCTGAGATTGACTGTGTCAACATTGAGACTGTCAAATTTAGCTATTCTGGAAGTGGAACATGACATATATTTTGATATTGGCGATGGTGTTAAACATTTTACTTTGAAAAAAAAAAACACAAAAAGTACATATTCAATCTAATTTTAAAACTAATAGTCACAGAATGATTTCTTATATTTACGCGTCTGCACAAGTCTGCAGTTTGTGATCATATCCTAAACGGCCCCAACCATTACATCAGATTTGATAGACCACAAATCCTCGCGAAAGAACACCGATTCCTACCAAGGATGATACGTGAGGCTATTGAAATTAAAAAACATCCTAATTTCAATAGAGAAGGAGGCTGGGTACTACCACCTGCTTGGGATCCTATAATCAATAAAATTAAAACTAAACCCAAGCATACCACTGCAAGACCTCAGGACATAGTCAGTTCATTTTGCATAGATCGGACCATAAACAATAATTAAAAAAAGCTGAAGGTACTCCGGGTTTAACAATGACATCGGGACGTCAGTCATCTCAGTCCCCCGTGACCATGGGTGCTGGAAAGCGCCCGAAACGTCGGGAATTAAAAAATAAAAAGTAAAAATAAACGCGATAAAATCCGTAAAAGTAGTTTTAATAATAGTCACAGAAGTAATTAATAATGCTAGGTACCCTGTAACATAAATATTTTCTTCGATCCAAGTTCATATTAATTGCTGTTGGTTAAGAGAATGTTGATAACCGCTATAAGTAGCCAGTTTGGCGGTAATTAAAGAGATTCTCTTAATTTATCAAATGCATAATAACAAAAAGTGATTCCACTATATAGATATATATATATATAAAAAAAAAATACACACACACACACACATATATATACACATATATATATATATATATATATATATATATATATATATATAGTGTAAATATTTATCTACCTAAGAATCGTATTTACACACTTTACCTACTCAGGTTGATTGTTATAGATATACGTAATATATCTAAAATAAAAAGAGCTCCGCTTAAACGAAAAAATAATTTATTCAACTAAAACTAAAAGTTGAAAAAAAAAATGCGTCAACTCGGTCTCGTTAGCCCATGAAAAGTTCCGTAGTAACGAGCATAGATTCTACATCTGGTCAAAATACCAGTAACATTATCAACAAAGACAAAGTTGTATTTGCGGTTTTTGAAAATGTGCTCCTTATATCTAAAAAAAATGGGCTATTATACATTATAGGGCTTTTTGTGGTTTATTCATTACCAAAGAGAAAAAACTTATTGCACAAAAAAATGTTTTTATCCATTTCAAGCCATCAAAAGCGGTTGTCAACCGTTGAAAATGAAAACAACCGTTGTTATCCGCTCGGTTGAAATCGTTGATAACACCTTCACATCTATAGTTATAATACAAGTTTACTTTTCCTCCTCGAATTTTGGCAAATTATTCTGTTGAGTTACCTAGAATAAGTGTTAGAACCTTGATTAAAACCACTTTTACGGATTTTATCGCGTTTTATTTATATTAATTTTAATATAAATTATTTATAAAAACTGTTCGAAATGACCTCCGCGATGTTGGAGACATGTTGTAGCCCTTATTGCCACATGTTGAGTTGCACGTCTGATCATCTCCCGATCTTGTCGCAATTCATTTCCAACTTCGATTATTTTATAAATCAACTCTTCTCGTGAGTTTGGCACGTTCGCATAAACTCTTTGCTTCATAGTGCCCCATAGAAAAAAGTCTAAGGGAGTTAAATCCGGTGAACGCGGAGGCCAAGCGATCCTTCCACAGCGACCAATCCACGGCGAATAGCGCTCATTTAAATAATTTCGCACATTTACTGCAAAATGCGTGCAAAATGCAGGTGCACCGTCAAGTTGGAAAATCATCCTTGCTCTGTGAGTTAATGGAAGCTCCATTAATTCTTCCAAAAACTGTGTTTGCAAAAACTCTAAAAATCTTGGGCCATTCATAATTTCTGGTAAAATTATCGGCCCAATTAAAATATCGTCTTTTATTCCAGCCCAAACGTTCTTTCGAATTTCATGTTGGAATGTAATTTCTCTAACAGCATGAGGGTTGTTTTGAAGCCACAGATGCTCGTTACGGTGATTTGTATAACCCGATCTCGTGAAAGTAGCTTCGTCAGTCCACAAAATTCTTATTAAAAAATCTGCATTTTGTCTTGTTCTTCTATTGATCCACGAACAAAAAACTGCCCTTATAGCATAATCAAGTTCGCGAATGTCTTGTACCCGCCGAAAATGGTAAGGATCAAACCTTCCCTCTTTAAAACTCTCCACACTGACCATTTTGTTATGAAATTAAGCATATTGCTTATTCGTCTTACACTGAGTCTGGGATCTTGTGTAATTAAACGTAATATCTCTTCTTCCTCCTCAGGTGCCACAAACCGAAATCTTTCATTAGCGGGTCTTCTGATCCCAAGTTCAGCTATCCGCAAATGTATCCTTACAAAAGTGCGAGCATTTGGTGTAGGCCTGTTGGGAAACATTCTGGCATACTCTGTGACAGTTCTGTTTGCGTTGCCGTTGCACAATCCATACACAAAGTTGATATCAGCGACATGCTGGTTTGAGTATTCACCATCTGCCATTTTTGAAAATATCAAAATAAGTAGAAACTTCACCACAAACTTAAAAAGTTCCACAAAACGGATTTTTTTTTACAATAACAACAACAAGCGATCTCAAGGGGCAAAAGTAGTGCACAACGCGTAGCGAGAGACGACTGTTTTTGTTGTCCCAAGTACACTTGTTTAGAACATCAAACAATGGGCTTTGGGTTTTTCTACCTGCTCTTGAACTATCATAAATGATCCTGCACGTGCAGCTTGCGCTTTTAAGAGGTCATGTTTTATAAAGTACAATTCTTAAACTATTTAATTTACAATTAAGATTTTTATGTTTTTGGTTAGGATATGTTCTGATCTATCTGATTAATGTAAAAAATCATTAGGTAAATCACTTACTTTTTTCATTAAAGTTGAAAATGTGAAAAAATAACAGATTTATTTTTAAATTTTTTATCTTTTCTAAGTCTTTTTTAGGATCTAAATACAATTTTGCAGTTAAAAGTTTGCTTTTATTTTATTACGCGTATCTTTATCTATCCAATGAGACATCTTTTAAGAATGTAGGACTTCTACATCGGTGAATATTGTAATTTTAATGCGCGGGGTCGAGGTGGTGACACTAAAAAAATTTAAATGATTGCCATTTAAATACAGCTAGGTCTAAATGAGATTTGAGACATGATTTGTCCATGAAATTGATTATATTTTATAGCATTAAAAGCTCCGACACCGGTAACCGGACACACTACATAAAAGAAGTATATTTGTATGTTATAAGAGAAAAAAATAAACAGAATTAAATGATAGTTTAGGATTTTTGAATTAAAAAAAAATGGTATGTGAGTATCATCTAACTCAAATTCACCAATGAGCTATCACTAACTCTGATTTTTGTAAGGTCCACATGTGTAAAAGCATGCATAATTCTCAATCAACAGATAAAGTTGCATATTTATCTGCTTTATTAAATTAAATAAAGAAAAAAACAAGAAAAGCTATCCAAAAGAAAAAACATAATGTTTAACCTGAACATTTTTGAATAACTTCGAATTATTTTGGTCGAAATTTCGTTTAGTTTCTTTTAAGCTAGTAAAATTAGGTCATGTGAGTAAATAAGCTTTTGTAGAATTCTTCAAAAAAATTAATGAGGGCATCCACGACATTTTCTGCCACCAGGGCGGCACCACTTAAAAATGGGGTGTAGTATTTGACAGATTTCATAGTGGAGAAGTTAATATGTTCGAAAATTGTTTATGTTAATGTTTCTGTACTATTAGTTATATTGTATATTTTTTTTAAATAGAATCAGGGTGACAAACGAGCACACAGTCCATTTGATGTTAAGTGGATGCTGTGGCCCATAGGCATCTACATTTAACCTCGATTAAGAATTAAAATGCAGATGCGTTGTCACCCTTGATGACTAAGATGGAATGCCGCGATTCCAGTAAAACAGGTCTCCCCGTTCTCCACACTCACCATACAAAATACACAGTATCAAGCTGCTATTTAACGCTGGTATTCTGTGAGAGCGTGGTCCTTCCCCGGTCGAGCCGACCCTTTCGTGCTACAGCCATAATTTAGCTGCAGCGTGGCTGTACCACATAATTATTTTAATCTGGAGTATGGCTACCTAAACTTTGACATTGGGATGTTGAAAGCCTCTGTAAATTACTCAAAACGTCGAGTAATTCATAGTATACAATATGAATTAAATCCCATGGTTTTAAATTAATTCCCAACCTTTACAACTGGTATATTTTCCCAGATCCATCAAACCCAGCCGGCAGACGCAAAGAGATTGACAATGTAATGAAGCGCGCCCGTCAAGCCTCACCGGGCAGTTGGGACAGGAAGCTACTGGAAGTGGAAGAGAAGGACCCCAATCGGTAAGTGGAGAGTGTAGTGAATTATAAAAAATGTGAAGAATCATGAAATCAATCTAACAAATGGAGATTGATTTTCTGAGTTAAGTTGGCAGATCTTGCAGTCGTAAGCGCGACTGTTGGTCGTGGTGACGGGTTCGGATCCCGGTGTAGGTTAAAAATCGGTTATTGGGTTTTTTGGCAAGAAATACTCAGCCCAGAGTCAGAAAATTGGAGACGTTTGACCCTTATGCCTCCGTAAGCATTTAAGTCAATTGTTCCTACGCCTGATCTATCTCTGGTTGAGTGGTTTTGGCGGTCCATAAGTCTATGAAAGTGAAGGAATAGAACTTTTTTTAAAGAATAAAGGTAACAAACGAGCACATAATACTCCTGATGTAATAAGTGGATGCTGTAACCCATAAACATCTACATTTATCCTCAATTAAGAATCAAAATGCAAATATAGTTGGATACCACTACCACGTAAAAGCGTGCTTGTGCTGACACTGTTGTAATCTTGTCTCTGTTGAGACTAGTTGCTGAAGAAAATTATAATTATTGTATATTATTTATTTGTTTTACAGTTATAAAAATGTTGTACTCCACCACTGATTAACTATTTCTGGTGTACATCATTTATTATACCGTTTATTTCGTTTTATTTTTTATTACAAAATTTTATTAACTTTGTAACCACAAACAAAAAAAACACAAATTTACTAATATTAGTTGCATTACATAAGGAATGTAATTAATATACAATATAAATAAATGTGAACCAATTACACTGGCCTGTGGTACACCACCTCAATGAATTTGATATTTTGTTTAGTAACTGCCAATAAAGATATTGGCATTCATTTAGCTTAGCAGTTTCTTTTTGTTCTTTATGATTTGGTTCTATCCAATTTTATGCCGGACCGCGACATTAAGTGGTCGCGTTTGCTAATCAGAAAGTTTGTGCACAAAGTGAAATGCTTTTTTGATATATATTTTTTTATTGGATAAGGGGGCCAAACGTGCGCTCAGTCTACCTGATGTTAAGTGGATGCTGTGGCCTATAGACATCTATCTACATTTATCTTCGATAACAATCAAAATGCAGATGTGTTGTCATCCATAGGGACTAAGATGGAATGCCTCGTTTCCAGTAGAAAGTGTCCTCGGTTCACACTCACCATACGAAACACAGCAGTCTTAAGCTGCTATTCTATGCTGGTATTCTGTGAAAGCTTAATCCTTCCCCATTCGAGTCGACCCATTCGTGCTACAACTATTATAGCCGCAACGTGGCTCTACCACATACAAATATTTAGTAATCTTTGAAGATATGAATATTCAAATATTATTGAAGTATGATTTTGTCATCTAAATTATGTATTTATATATATTTTTTAACAAAACTTTTTACAAGATGAAAACATGCCAAAAAGCCCTAAGCTAAAAATATGTTAAATATATTCATTATAAATATATTAGTGCAATAAGGTTGTATAGAGGATGCACTTTTAAGAATGGATAAACAGAATATCCCTAATAAAATTGTTACTATAAAAACTTACGACTATTTTTCTTTTCTTGATTCAGTCATTTTTGGGTTAGGTTTAGTTCAGCTGTGGGCTGGGTATTACAATCATAATAATTATTTATTTGTTTCTTACCACACACTGTTACATCTTTATTTTAATAATAGTATTATATTCTTTATTTATTATTTTGTTTATAGTATTATATTATGTTTTCTTTTATTATTTATTATATTAAATGTCTAAACCTAAGATCAGTTCCACATGGGCACATAAACTTAATAAACAAACTATATTGTTATCGATTAAAAAATTTAATAACGAAATTTGTGGCTTTCGATCCTGGACTGTAAAGGAATGCTGGTCGAGAGAAAGGGCGTTCGTTAAATAAATTGCACGTCCATCTTGTCACCGCCGCTCTCTTAATAGCTGGAGAGCTAGTGAACCCTCCAAGTAACGGTTTTCCTGTAAGGTTGGAAATTTGTACACTTAGCAGTTATAGCATGCTAAGGGCAATAGCCATAAACCTGGCAGGCGTCAGCCCTGCACGTCATCAGCCTCTTTATTTTTTAAATTGTAAAATAAATAGAGTATATAAACTTGTTTCTGTAAGCTTAAAAATTTAATGGGATGTAGTTTATTTATTGAAAATCTTGAAAAAAAATATTGACAGGCTATTGCAATGAGCAAAAGTATGTGACAGGTGAATTGAAAGGAGCAGGTAAAATAAACTTTCTCCTGTATAGTTGAAATTTGGATATGTTTTTGAATAAATGTTTTAAAATTAATAAGTAAAATGACAGGCGGTTTTGAATAGCATGAGACCTTGACAGGTGAGGGGAAATCTGCTAAGGGCGTGCGCGTAAGAAGTGAAAAAATAAAAACAAAAATGATAAATACACTACATTTTCTTCATCATTATCCGACACTTCACTACTACTGTTTTCATCATTATCTGACTCTTCGATAATGTTTTCCTCTTCCGAAAATAGATTTTTTTTTAATAAATCAATAAGGTCATTAAGAATTGAATATCAAACTCAATTACATAGGAATGTATTGTTACGCGCTCAAGTCGACGATACACTAGCGCCATCTAGTGTCAGGAACGAGAGCGAGGGGAGCATTGAGAAAATGACATCACAAATCACTCAACCGACAGCGCCTAGTCGAAACTCGAACGCTCGGTACCTTGCGCGTGTTTACTTGAACATTCTGGATATTTCTTTGCTAATTTAAATAAGTAGGCGCTGCAAGATGCGATCGGGTAGACTTGAACTCGGCGACACAAGCGAAGCTTCGGAGCGGAATTAAGTGAATTAGTGTGTTTAATCATTAGTGTTTTAAGTTTTAATTTGTGTAAAGTAAATTAAAGTGTTAATTTAGGTAATTTTATCGGCAATTTTTATTGTCACGAACCCTAAGCTCGTAACAGTATATTAAATCATATTGAATAAAATAATTGTATGTTGCCTGAAATGTATTCCTCGGTTTCAGTAGATTGTGCTTCGGCAGTACAGTTACTCGGAGGGTTCACTAGCTCTTGGACTATAAGGTGGCGGTTCGCGTCATGACCGAGACAAGCGACTGAGACGGGAAACGGTGACCGTTACTTGACTTTAGGCTATGTATAAGCATCAATTTGTGAGCGAGACAGAGACGCGACACAGGAAACTGCGCGACAGTTGTTGCCCCTAAAGGTGCGCTTACACGGGCAACTAAAATTGCTCAATTCCAGTCAATACTCGTCAACTATGACGTCACGACTACTTCAAGCAATTTACGGCAACGGCAACAAGCATCAATACTGCGCAATACAATATTGAGCGATATGGCGCAACTTCATCAACTAGGCAATACTGTCCTACACGAGCATTTCAGTATTCCCTCGCTATGGACGACATTGTTCTTGCTGCGCAGGGCTTGTAGCGCTTTTTTTATTATTAATCAAAAACAAAAAAAGAAAGAAAAGGAATGGACGTATCTGGGTGTGATCGTTTTTGGCAAAGAGGCCGCAATTTTCATTGTGTAAAGAATTAGATGATATATTATTCAAAAACTTTACTAGAATGTCACGAACAGACCCGACCTCTCGCTCTCCCCGCGGAAGCAAGACGGTAAGCCGCAAAACAAACAAGTGCGAATGTGATATATACAAAAATTGCTAGGAATTTCCAAGCCCATTGGATATTCGTCAATTCGTATCTGCGACACTGAGCGATATGAAATATCTGGAGCAATTAGAAGCAATATCGCCGAAATAATTGCCGCAATTTGCTCCATTGCTTTGAAATTGCTCCATTAATTGCTCCAGATCGGTCCATTGGTGTCGCCGAGCAATTATTGCCCTCGTGTAAGCGCACCTTAACTAGTAGTTAGACATGTGTCAATCAATCATTTCTAGTGACCGAATCATTCGATTACATTTCGTCACGCGTACCGGTACATTCGGATCTATCATTCAAATGGATCATTTCGGGCTCCAGTACTCTGTGAGATTCATTGGGAACCGAAAATTTTCTATTTGAGATTTGTAATAGCGCCATCTACTACATGCTATAGGTAATAAAATCATTTTATCGAACTAAAACTTCTTGACTTTCAAGGTGGTAAGTACAATCGACGCTAGATGGCATAAACACAAAATCCTCAAGTGATTCAATTGATTTGATTTGATTTTGATTGATAACTTTATTCAATATTATTATATATTTTAAATATTTTATAAATTTGTTTATTCTTAAATTTCATTCCTAACAATACACAATTTCATCTTACTTTACAGATCTAAAAATAAGGATTGTAACATTTATTTGCTACAAAATTAAACTTTTATCTTATACTTATATAAGGTGGTTGAAAATTATAATATTAAATAAATCATTTGCCATGAAATCTTTTGAAGTGTTGTTTTTAGTATACCCTACGAAATCAACTCATAGATGTAACAAATAAATAATAATAAAATGTAAAATAATTTTTAATTTAGATACAATATTATAAAAAAATACCCTTAAATAATAAATACTCCTTTATTCGATTCGCCTATTTATTCAGATCACTCGGGATTCGGTCAGTTTTCGGTTCATTCACAATTCACAGATACGTTGTACCAGTACATTCAGAAACAAATGAATGAACCATTAATACTTTTAAGTGTACCAGCTCAAATGAACTCAAATGAATCATGTATGATTGACACATGTCTAGCAGTAGTGTTTCGTAGGTCTCATGACGCGTTCGAAAGCACGTGTGTTTATTGTAAAAAATGACTACTTTTTATCCTCAATTAAGAATCAAAATGCAGATGCGTTGTCACCCCTGAGGACTAAGATGGAATGCCTCGTTTCCAATAAAGAAGGGTCTCCGGATCTCTAAGCTCACAATACAAAACACAGCAGTATTAAGCTGCTATTTTCTGTTGGTGTTCTGTGAGAGCGTGGTCGTACCCCGGGCGAGCCGACCCAATCGTGTTACAACCATAATATAGCTGCAATGTGGCTCTACCACGTAACGTATAATGTAACACACGCATGCTCCTTTTGTACGCATTATCTTTTTCACTAAGTTTAATATGTAATAAAACTGTTTTATTCAGCCGAAAATTCTTCTTGAATATATTGTCATCAAACAATAGGTGCTTCTTCACTAATAGCGAAAAATAATTTGTTCCTAGGTAATCTTCTTGTAAATTTGTAATTGTTATAATAATTTAAGAGCAAATCATCATCTTCTTCTTCCTACAATAGAAGTTCTACTTGGCTTTCCATTACAGTGTAAACACAGTACTCGTACGACACAACTGACTCCATCGACAGACTCTCCGATGCTGAATTAATTGTAGCTTTCGTTGGGATCTTAGTCTCGACCCACAGTACATACAGAAGAGAGTCGCAGTCTCCTGTCTCAGTCTCCTGTCACGGTCTACTGTCTTTGTCGCGACGTAAAACACCGCCTTTAGTCCTTCCACGCTCCGGAGACAGGTTTCGCCAAGGTGCAGACGAGCTAACGCTTTGCGGACACAATACTTCACTATTTTGGCTTGCGTGGCAGTTGTCAGCGTTATATAGGGTGTCCCAGAATTCGACGTCAAGCCGGAATCGAGGGATAGGTCAAGTCAGAATAGTTAACAAAAAATAAAAAAGTCGAGAAAATCTACAGTCTGCGATGCTCTGTACACGCTCTGTATATCTCACGCGTGTGGGTGAGGCGATATGAACGCCTGTAATATAAGGATATATTATACAGGATAAATTTAGAAAAAATGTATTTAAAAAAATAAACTAGGTTGTGCCAACATGCATAAATGGGAAATTCTCTTAATATTATATTTGTAACATATACTAGTGATCACTTAGTAATCATTAAAGGTTGTATATTAAGAAAGCTATATATATAAAATTCTATTGTCCGTGTGTATGTTACTGAACTCCGCCTAATTAGCAGGACCGATTTTGTTGAAATTTTGTGTATGTGATGAATTTGATTTGAGAATGGTTAAGAGTTTCGAGGTGGCGCTGTTGTCGAAATCCAGAAATCATCCGTGCGAAGTCGGGGTGGATCGTTTTATTAAACACGTATATCTAATATACAGTAGTCTATATTTTGTAGAGCCACGCTGCAGCTATATTATGGTTGTAGCACGCATGGGATCTCACAGAATACCAGCATAAAATAGCAGCTTAAAGCTTAGCCTTTTTACTAGAAATGAGGCATTCCATCTTAGTCCTCAGGGGTGACAAAGCGTCTGCATTTTGATTCTTATGCGAGGATAGATAAGTCCGGTCAATCTAGACATTTAGTGTATACATAAAGTTACAACAAGCTGATAATCGGTAAAATTGTTCAAAATACAATTATAAATAGAAATTTTAAGTTCCCCATCGCTCCTGTGTATGGTAAAAATTTTACTCAAGGTCAAAGGAAAAAAAATGAGTTGCGATTTTCAGCAAAACAGTAAGTTTTATCATAAAAATACCCCAGATAAAGTTGTAGATCATAAAATTATCTACAATAATGTATCAATACTTTTTTCCTACGAGCCAGTTTCTGAGATATTACGATTTTTAATCAATAACCTAAGCTTTTGATCAAGGATCAGTAGAAGACAAAATTACTACTTTATACTATCAAAAACCTGATAAAAATACAGTTTTTGATCAAAAACCTAGATTGATTTAGTTTAGTGATAAAATCAACCTAAACTAAGCTTAAATTTTATCCAAAGTCTAAACAAGTTGAGGTTTTTGATAAAAAGAGGATTTTTTTCAGGTTAGTGATAAGATTAAGTATGTAATAACTTCTGTTTATAAAAAAAATGTGATTTTACTTTAAACCTGCAACATATGCAACATTATGGATTGTGTATAAATCAATAGATTGTTATTATCATCATATACCATTAGAAGTCAACTGCTAAAAATAGGACTCCTTCAAGAAGTACCACATTATATATCTTATAAGATTGTCCATCAGTCAATGCAATCAGAGGCCACCCTACACTTGGTTACTCCTTTGAGACTGCTACTCGACAATGTTTCTTACTCATCAGTTGTCGGTGCTCCAAGCTTTATGGCCAGCCTATTGCCACTTTAGCTTACTGATCTGATCAAAAGCTATTTGTAACATAATTTCATTTCTAGTAATAGGTTGCAGCACTACGGGCCAGAACAAGTATTTGTATGGCCTACAAATATTTGTTTTGGGTCTGGATGTTCGTCTTTGTGAAATTTATGTATGTAAACTGCCCCCACGATATAGTAAAAAATCTTAGGAAGGAACAATTCTAAAAAAAAAAAACAATTTTTATCGGTCTATTCTGTTAAAATCTTGTATATTTTTCTGCTGATAGTTCGTAATATTAAACATTCAAAAAGATTTTAATACTTTTATAGATAAATCGAGTTACAAAATTTAATAACTCTGATTTTGACCAATAGATGGCGCCACACCGGCTACAAGCAGTTGTATTTAGACGGTTCGGGTTCCGTGTCACCTCGTCGGTCCAGGTCACCAGTACTCGGAAGACGTTCTAGGTATGGAGACATGCAAATAATAATCCTTTAATTGATGAAAAATATCAATTTTCCTGGTAAAATATGCAAGAAGTCGATGAATGCAGGTGGCTTAGCACCGTGCTTTGTGTCATTCTTTGGAAGTGGCGTCAGGTTGTCATTCCTCGCTATCAGCTAATCGGCAAACCGCTCGTTTTGCCGTTGGCTGAAGTCGCGACGCGTCGTTTGAACCGAGCCGATGAGAATAACATTAATAACACCCGTATTTCGTAGATATAAAGGTTTTTCTTACCGGCGGAAGCTGATTCCGCGTCGATAAATGTGGGGACTTCCTAATGGGTGCCTATGTATATGGGTGTAAAGGACGTGAGAGAGGTGTGTCAGGATGGGGCCAAATGGAAGTCCGTAGTCTCGGTCTACCCCACTGGGTGACAAGTGTGAATGTTGGATGTTACGTCTGTTTTTAGGTAGGGGTAAACGTCTGAGACGAGCATGTGCCTGGCAGTAGGATGTATACATGCAACAACTTAACAACCATGTATTACGAAAACACTTTAGAATTGTTTTCTTTTTATTTAGAGTACTAGATCGAATGTCCAGTATAAATTAAAGTCACTTAATGTTTTAGTGATATCATATATTTATCTAATTGTATAAAATATCACTAAATCTACACAAGGTTGTAGATATTCATAATACATAATAACAATTTACATCATACACACAGAATAACAAGGTGTAACTGTACAGAAAAGTGTTACTGTTGCTTCCACTCAATAATGCAGCTAGTTACATTTCTGTTAAGAAACCTGTTGCGACAATAGGTTTCTTCTACAACAGGTTTCTTATAACCACATATTCTTAATTTGTTGTTTAGTAACTATTAGTTATTGTTTTGTATAGTTGTTACTAGGTAGCTGAAAATTTCGTTTTGAAAAAAAAGCAACATAAAATTATAATTTATTGGTGGGCAAAAAAGATAAATAATCAATTATTTATATTAAGATGTACCAGCATTCATATTTTCATCCACATTTTTAAATATCAATTGGTGTTTCATTTCCGTTGAAAATGAAGTTCTTTTGACACGAATCGACGCCGAAGAGAACAGTAACTAACGTACTAAGAAAGTAGCAAAATTAACAATGTATTGTGCAATAACGTTTAGTTCTTGGACGTTACTGAAAAAAGCCAATGCGCGATTTGTCGTAACAGAACAGGTTACACTTTTATTTTGGACACAACCTGTTGCCGTAACAGGTTTCGTAGAAAATAAAAGTAAAACAGGAAAAAACAACTCATCTACTCATCTCTCATCAGTATAACAGATATTATTGTTACGAGCTTGAGGTTCGTGACAATAAAAATTGCCGATAGAATTACCTAAATTAACACTTTAATTTTCTTTACACAAATTAAAACTTAAAACACCAATAATTAATCACACTGATTCACTTTATTCCGCTCCGAAGCTTCGCTTGTCTCGCCAACTTCAATACTTCACCGATCGCATCTCGCAGCGCCTATAAATATAAATTAGCACCGAAATATCCAGAATATTCAAGTAAGCACGCGCAAGGTACCGAGAGTTCGAGTTTCAACTTCTAGAAGTTTAGTTCTTCGTTCCGAGACTAGATGGCGCTGCCGGTTGAAAGAATAGTGATGTCATTTTCTAGAAAGCTCCCCTCGCTCTCGTCTCTGACACTAGATGGCGCTAGTGACTCGACTTAGGCGCGTAACATTATTATTACTCACAATTTATCTTTCTTGTGCGTATTCTTTTAGTGCGTAGCCTTTTTTTTTGCGCCCAGCAGCAATAAGGGCTACCTTCCGGAAAACGGGGGAAGGAGGTGGTAAATGCTCATAGCATACCACGCAGCAGACTGTGTATGCTATGAGCATTCACCACATGTGAGACAGGCTATATATAACCTGTTAGGATTATTCAGTCGTATCGGAAGCGACTCCCCCCCCCCACTTGGGTGAAAGAAGCGCACTGAGATAAGAGCGCCCTCAAGTTGACGACATCTGTATTTTATAGGCTTGTAATTTACCAGTGCTAAACTACAGATGGCGTTGCTTGTGTGAGTGTTACATTCTATTCTAGTTATAAATATTAGCAAATATAAATAACTCTACATAATCTAAAACATTGATGTACCCGCAGACATATAGTAAGAAAATAATTAATTATTCACAATGTTAGTTATAACAACATAAATTATTAAAATATGCTAACACTAGTTACATAGAAAAAGGCTTCCAGTTCTCTACAGTCTACACTCTACAGTGACCATATGAAACGGAGCAGCATTATTCTATTATTTTACAATGGTTGTCTATGGATTGGCATGTCGTGAGAGGTGGTGATGTAGTTCTTGGTAGTAAATTGCATTGTAATAGTGTAATAGACGCCTATTAACTTTCACTTTGCTACCTTACGTTGTAGAGCCATGCTGCGGCTCGACCGGGGAAAGACTATGCTTTCACAGAATACCAGTGTAAAATAGCGGCTAAATGCTGCTCTGTCAGTGATTGTAGAACCGAAGGCCCTTTTTACGGGAAACATGATACTCCATGCAGGTCCTTAAGGGTGATAACGCATCTGCATATTGATTCTTTATTGTGGATAAATGTGTCTTGTCTATGGGCTGCAGTATCAACTCTCGAATCGAACTGCTTGCTTAGTCTTTTGTAATGCGTATGGCAAGTAAAAAACCCTTTTGTAACTTCCCATTTGGAAGTTGATGTAATGAGTCTCATAGTTTAAAATCCAAACTTCAAGCCACATTTTTAAGGTCCATTCGAGTGTCTTTAAAATGTGTGTGTGCGTGTGTGTGTGTGTGTGTGTGTGTGCGTGTGTGTGCGTGCGTGTGTGTGTGTGTGTGTGTGTGTGCGTGTGTGTGTGTGTGTGTGTGTGTGTGTGCGTGTGTGTGTGTGTGTGTGTGTGTGTGTGTGTGTGTGTGTGTGTGTGTGTGTGTGTGTGTGTGTGTGTGTGTGTGCGTGCGTGCGTGCGTGCGTGCGTGCGTGCGTGCGTGCGTGCGTGCGTGCGTGCGTGTGTGTGTGTGTGTGTGTGTGTATGTATGGTACACTTTAGTGAACACTTTTAGTCTTGTGCGTCTTGAGAACAAATGACTTAGTTTCAAACAATTTTCATTAAAATCTATTCTGTATGTTTTTTTTTTTTTTTTTGAACTAATTTACTATCATTCAACAAAGGAAATTAAAATTTCATTGGTGAAACACCATTCAATATATATTTTTAATATACTACTGATACAAAATGAGATTTTCTCTGCCTCTTGTAAGTTTTCATCATAGACTATAGAACAATAATGCAATATTCTTTGTCAAAAATAAAAAAGAATAGTTCCATAAAGTTTTAAAGTTCAGCCTGTAAACGTCTCACTTTTGGGCACAGGCCTCCTCTTATTTCTGAGAGGGTTTTAGGTTTTTTTAAAGTTTTTTTGTTAGGTTTTCCGTGCTGATGCCCCAATGTAACACGGCAAATTTCACGTATTTGAAATATATTTTTCTTATTTTTTTGACATGCCGGTTTCCTTTCCTTCATGCCCAAGCACGTGGTAAATCGGCACTTAAAATTGCTATTAACAATTTCATTGGTGGCGGCGGGTATCAAACACAGGTTTCTTGCGTACTGTGAAAATACACTGTGAGCGTTCACCAGCTGAGCTACTGCGGCACAACAATTTCATAGCGCCACAAAATATCAAACTTACAATGAGTTACCAGATGAAAAGTTTCTGTCGTTGTGCATAGTTAAGGCAAACTACATCATACATTATTTTTTATGTATACTTGTAAAAACTGTAAGATAACTAGAATATGTATACTTTCTTAATGTCCGAAACCAGAGCAGATAGTGAAATTGGTTTATCTATTTTTTGACCAGGTCTCCAATGGTACGCCGGTCACGATCTCCAGTGCTGCGGCGCTCCCGGGCGCCGGTGGTGCGTCGATCCCGCTCGCCAGTGGTGCGTCGATCTCGGTCTCCAGTGGGTCGTCGTTCTCCTATCGTACGTCGATCCCGGTCCCCTGTGGGACGTCGGTCGCGGTCTCCGGTGACGCGTCGGTCGCGATCTGCTCGACGCAGTCCACGCAAGTCCCGCACCCGTTCGCCACGCCGCAGTCCCCGTAGGAGTCCTCGTAGGAGCCCTATCAGGTATATTCTTTTCCCTATTTTTTATTTATTGCATATCTTAAGCGCAAAACGCGTAGGTATGTTTTTGTCGCATGAAATCGTATTTAATTTTTTATTATTATTTTTAAATCGATTTATTGCTATTTTTACATTAAAAAAGTAGTTTTAGTGTCAAGTCGGCACGGAGGGGTAAACACGATAATTTTTTAAAATATCAATTGTTCAACTTCAAATTATTTATTATATAGATAACAACGGATTAGTAAGCTGAAGTGGCAATGGGCCGGCCATATAGCTCGAAGAACCGATAACCGATGGGGAAGAAAGGTTCTCGAGTGGCAGCCTCGTAGCAGTAGGCGTAGTGTAGGGCGACCCCCCACTAGTAGGAGTGACGACCTGGTAAGATATGCAGGAAGTCGATGGATGCAGGTGGCTCAGGACCATGCTTTGTGGCATTACTTGGAGGAGGGCCATGTTCAGCAGTAAAATTGTTAAGGGCTGTAATGATGATGATGATGATAGATAACAAAACAGATTACACCACTGGTTTGGAAAAAACTTCTGTCTTTAGAAGAACCAGCAAAAAAGTCAGCCAGGACTTTATTTTTTAACATTAATCTACAAAAATAATATTTTGTACCAATAAGTATGAAAACATATTGGAACATCATGGTCTTATTACCATTACTACACCTTATTTCTAGAGGTTATTATCAATTATGTACTTGTTGTTAATAGTGATATGTAGTCCTTGTTAAACAATTAATGCCGTGATAACTTAGGGTCTAAAGGCTTACTGTAACTTTCACAGTAAATGAGCAATCTGGGTTCGATCCCCGCCAGCACCAAGGAAATTTTTGATTGCAATTATAAGTTCTGATTTACCACATGCTCGGTGATTAACGAAAACGAATAATAAGAAAAAAAATATTTCGATGACATGTGAAGTTCGCTAACACGCATTGGGGCGCCGCGGCAGACACTTCCTTGCCCTAAAACCCTCTCAGAAATGAGAGGAGGCCTGTGTTCAACATTGGGACTGGACGTATATATAAACTGGCTGTATCTTTAAACAATTAGTGTAGTAGTGGTAGTGAAATTACTGACTCTGGAGTTGAGTAACCCAGTATTTATCTGAATGTTATGTGCAGACGCAGCGCCGGGCGCAGCAGCCCGCGGAGACGACGCGCGCGCCCCGCGCCCCCGACCCGTGCGCCGCGCCCGCCCTCACCGCCCGCCCCGCCCGCCCAGCGCCAGGTCAGTCACCAATCTACCTACACACTGCACTCGGAGGACCAACAACCACACACACTCCACTGTCAATACAGCCTCAATAGAGACTTCACATACAGTGACCGCTACACCTGCACACTAAACTATACACAGGGATGACCAAAGACCACACACACTTCAACTGTTGACACAGTATCAACGGAGACTAGAGTTATGCAGGACAGGGTTACAATGCCTGACTGTACGTGCTAGCGGAGGTGCACTGTCTATTCCCTCGCTATCATAGTCTGATAATTTTCAAATTCAAACTTAGTATGAATTTGCGTAGATACACCTCTATCTTCCAGGAAGAAATTTTCGCCATACTTCGGTGTGCGGAAATCAATCTGCAAAAACACTATGTCAACCACAAAATTTACATAAACTCTGATAGTCAAGCAGCACTGCTAGCGCTGAGATCAAACTTAGTGAACTCAAAGCTAGTTGGAGGCAGCGTGAACCGTTTAAACGCCCTGAGTTGTAACAACAGGGTCGTTTTAAGATGGGTTCCGGGTCACGAGGGTATTGTAGGCAACGAATTTGCCGACAAACTTGCACGGGAGGGCTCAAAGTGCACACAATTTGGACCCGAGCCATTTTGTGGAATCTCAAGAAGCCTAGCCCGATTGACCCTTGAAACTCTTTATCACAATAAATCACTTAAGATCTGGTCTGACACACCAGGCTTGAAACATTTTAAAACCTTAATCCGGGCTTTTGATCGTAAATTCGCTTCAGAAGCCCTGGGATTAAGTAAAAATAAATTGCGCATTCTGGCAAGAGCCCTAACTGGACACTGTTGTCTTTAAAAAGCACATGTCCATCCTGGGACTAAGCAACTCAAGGATGTGTCGGTTCTGTTCCATAACGGAAGAAACGCCTCTACACATCCTAACCGATTGCGGACCCTTAATGCGCAAACGTAACACTCATCTGGAACATCTGGGAAATGTATCTACTCCGCCCAGAAGAAGTGAAATTGCTCACGGCTAAGCAACTCCTTTGATTAATTGAAGACATAGGGCTTAGCAGTGAATTATAGCCATAGCAGCGATCACAATAGACCTTTCTAGGTCGCAGTGATACTGGTCTCTACCTAGACCTGCATAGCTGCTCGCATATAATAAAAAAAAATCATAGTGTGATGGGACGGTTATCTGACTCACCCGGAGAGATTAAGAGCATGGGGTGAAACACCACCAATTTCTTGACAACAGGCTGCTACTTAGTATTACTTGACAGAAAAACCCCAATAAGTAGTTTTGACCCAACTCAGAACTCAGGAACCAAACCATAACAGATTGCCTATGAAGATTTTCAAACATGTGCCTTTTCCATAAGTAACTGAATAAAATAATAAAATGGTCGCTGTGCAATATTCTATATTATTTCCATGACGAACAAGCGTTTGCTTTTTTTCATAGAATTTTAGAATTTGGGTGACAAACAAGCACACAGGCCATGTGATGGTAAGTGGATGCTGTGGCCCATAGACATCTACATCTGTCATTGATTAAAAATCAAAATGCAGATGCTTTGTCACCCCTGATGATGAACGGGTCTCCGGTTTTCTACACTCACCATACGAAACACAGCAGCATCATCAAGCTGCTATTGTATACTAGTATTCTGTGAGACCGTGGTCCTTCCCCTTTATGGAAGTGCAAGCACATACAAAATGTGCTTGCACTTCCACAAAGGTTATAGATATAGTCGGACCTGGTGGTGGTGTTGTTGTAGAATCCAGATATCACTCATATGAAGCCGGGGTAGATCGCTAGTTTAATAATAATTACCTATGGAGTATGCTTTCACAGCTTGCCAAATTTTATTTTGTTTTTGCATTGACCAATTATTAAACTATTTTCAATCTGTGATTGTACCCTCAAATTTCAAGGCCACTAATCAAAGTACTTCTGGGAGATTTATAAAATATATCTATGATCCTCATGAATTTAATTGCACATGGAAATATTCCTCCGTAGATTGCCTGACAAGTGTATTTGCCGTAGTTACCACTCTTGTCAGGCATGTTGGTGACCACAGTTTTTTGTTATTTTAAGTTGTTATCATGAACATTGTTGCTGCCCACCTCCTATTTCAGATTCCCTCTGTCGCTCCTTGCAATACCCACGGGATGGGATGTAGTGGGTATTCTTACACCACCACTGCATAAATTATTACTTAATACACTTATATAAAAATGCTTTGCTTCCAGTCTTCTCCATCGGGTTCATCGGTGAGCAGCTGTTCAGATGAGTCATGCTCCGTCTGCTCTGCCAAGAATAAGAAAGGACCTCCACCACCCAAACCTGTAAAGCCTGGGTAAGTTACATCTTCAGTTGATCTTTTTTTTTAATTCTTTGTAACTCTGCATTCCATACAATTTATTATAAGCAAATACAGTTCCAAAGTATTGGGGCTGTGTCATTCTTCCTTGCATTTAAAGCTTCTTAGGTCTATTACATAGCTCTTGCCCTCCCTGTGGGATACATACTTATTTATTCTTTTGAGAAATTTTTGTATAACTTACCTGTAGAAAACAGCATGTAGCGTTATAAATTAGGGCCCTAGTGTAGAAATATTTTTTATATGAAATCAGTCTTATTTTTTATTTTAAAAACAAAAAATAAACCTTCTTAGATTATCAGAACAAAAAAATGAACTTACCCTCATATGTAAAAGCTATCAAAAATGAACATAGGAATGCGAATTTGAGATTTTAGTCAACATTCGCAGACCTGTTGAGATCATTCAATCTTTTTTTATTACATTGAATACATATGTCGTATTTCTAATAATGTCCTCCAGACCGAATTTCGGCCACGGCGGCCTGCCTCAACGAAGGCTAGCCATCGGCGCAGGACAGGATAATAGTGCCCAAGTGTATGCGCAAGCATAATTGCACTCTCTGTCCCACACTCTCATAATTCGATGGGACGGTAAACGGACACGACCGGAAGAGAGATCAGGCGCAGGACCAACGGCTTTACGTACTTTCCGACGTACGCATGTTCGCACGGGGTGAGACAGCCACGCCCACAGCTACCGATAATTTCTTGACAGAAAAACTCAATAATTGATTTTTGGCCTGACCCGGGATTCGAACCCAGGACTTCACGATCAGCAGTCGCACTACTACAGCCACTAGACCAACGAGGCAGTCAAATATCTAGTTATATTTCTAATTATCACACAATGACTTATAACATCTTCGATATTGTTTTATTCATTGATAGATTTTTGGTTTTTTCATAATCATTAAATCTGGCAGTTTTTGTTCTGTCCCGCTGTATATCATCTTTTTAAATAATTTTGGTTTATACTAGAGATGGGCCGAATATTCGTTTCATATTCGATATTCGGCAGCTTTACCGAATATTCGGCTAAATCACCGAACATTTGTTAAAGTGTTACTCAAAGTGTCCACTGTATTGAAATGTATGAATTGAGTCTTTCATAATTTCACTGTTGAAAGTATATTTTATTTATAGATTAAATCTACTTGTATAGCTTTATGTTTTTGAGGCACTAGATTTATTTCCAATTTTAGCAAATAGAAAGCTTGATAAATTTTTTTTGGAATCAAACAAAGAAACTTTACATTACATTAGTACATTTCACTTTACTTTGGTCGTCAGTTTTTCTAAAATAAGTCCAAATAATAGATCTCCTACCACTAATTTTTATCAAATAATTATCAATTTTCACTAAGAATAACAACGAAATAATTTTTTTTCTCAGAAGAATAGTCAAAACATAAGTTTGTGTCGGCAATTTGATCAGTACTAGATGATGGGCGAGGGGCAGGGTACGGCGCTAATCTCGCGCGCTTTACGGTAACAAGTTTCGACATAAATTGGTTAGGTACCGAGGTGATCCTACCGAATAAAGTTCGGCCGCATATTCGGTTCGATAAAAGTTAACCCGAACTTTCGGCTGAATATTCGTATTCGGTGAAACCCATATTCGGTTTCTTCGTGTTTTTTGGGCTGTTGGGGGTCAAAATATACTGAATTAGCGCAATGTTAGATATATTCCTGTCTTACCGCCTTGTCGAGGCAGAGGGAGGGGGCTAAAAAGTCGTGGGTGGCTGCTCCGAGTGGGCTTAGCGAGCCCACTGGATGAATGGAAGGGATGTATTCTCCTCCCTGACCAGTCAAGGTGGAGTCACAGGGAAAAAAGTGTTGGTGCATTAGATCAGATGTTGATGCATTATAATCCTTTACTTGCTTGACTTTTAGGGATGTTTCTTTGGCCCATCTTCAGGGAGAGCTAGCTTGGTAACAAATTGTTTTATGTTTGTAGTTCGACTTCACCGGGTCGTGCAGCAGCGGCCAAACGGGCTCCTCCAGCCACAAGCACAACAAGAGCCGTGCAGCCCACGCGGGAGCTGCTCAAAGCCAGGGAGGCCAGCAAGAGGACTCGGGAGGAGAAGGTGAGATATCTATATATGTCCTCTATTAAGAAAGAAAATGCAGATGCATTGTCACCAGTGAGGACTACGATTGAATGCCCCATTACCAGTAGAAAAGGGTCTCTGGTACTCTACACTCACCATACCAAACACAACAACATAAGGCTGCTATTTTACACTGGTATTCTGTGAGAGTATGGTCCTTTCCCAGTTGAGCTGACTCATTCATGCTACAGCCATAATATCACTGCAGCGTGCCTCTACCACATATAAACAAAAGTGTTTTACGAAGTGAAAATGTAAATCTATAGGATTTAGCCTGCTAGAGAGAGATAGAACACAGTAGATAGTGTTTCCTATTAACTATAATATAATGTATGTGTAATCTAATATATTAAAATTAATTTATGTTTGTTCATATTTAGTTTTATGCGCTGCTATAGTTGTTCATTAGATTGTGGTAAAACTTTGTCAACATATTGTTATAGGCATAGTTAGACCCGGTAGGTGGAACTATTGTAGAATCCAGATAGCACCGAATCCGGGGCAGAACACTAGTGTATAATTTAATTTTTCAACTTGGTAACAATATTACAATAAATAAACTATATATATATATATATATATATATATATATATATATATATATATATATATATTTCTTTACGGTAAATGTTGATCAGACGCGACTTCACGCGAGCACTTTGTTGATCCAAAAACGCATATTGATCCGGCGCATCAACATCTGCACTCACGAGACTGTTTGCTAGCGTTGGCCGAAGTTGATCCGATATACAAATCCACCTTGCGATGGTTACGGAAAATGTTGGTCCGATTTAAATGAGCCAATCAGAGCACAGCAAACGATAAGATAAACGATCGGATTGGCTGAATGCAGCCGCGACGTTGCCGTTTCGTATCTTTGGCGGTACAAGCTACAGATTAAATGCGTGTTATGTAATGCATTCAGGGTGCTGTTTGGTCTACCTCGTTATTGTAATGCACCGGGTATGTTCGCGGATGCGCGTGTGGATTTTTTCTACACCACCATGAGTAAACGATGCACATCCCTGGTGCGCAGGGTGCGGGCCAGTTCCAATGGTATCCTGACGGCATTTTCTGACAGGTTTGAGGTCAGTACCTGAACCATTGTCATATGGTGCACGTGCTGACTAATCGGGCCTGTCTTATATATAGTTTTAAAATTAGGTAAATAGTTTTAAGTTTTATAAAAATTAGTTTTAAGATTTGTATTATTACTAACATCTATGATCCTTGTGGTCGAAATAAACTACTTTTTTTTAACGAATAACTCGACAACGCCCCTTCTTGTAGCGGAAGTGGTGGCAACGGCGAAAAGGTATTCGCCTAAGGTGTGTGTGTGTGTGTGTGTGTGTGTGTGTGTGTGTGTGTGTGTGTGTGTGTGTGTGTGTGTGTGTGTGTGTGTGTGTGTGTGTGTGTGTGTGTGTGCGTGCGTGCGTGCGTGCGTGCGTGCGTGCGTGCGTGCGTGCGTGCGTGCGTGCGTGCGTGCGTGCGTGCGTGCGTGCGTGCGTGCGTGCGTGCGTGCGTGCGTGAGTGAGTGAGTGAGTGAGTGAGTGAGTGTGTGTGTGTGTGTGTGTGTGTGTGTGTGTGTGTGTGTGTGTGTGTGTGTGTGCGCGCGCGTGCGGCAGTGTGCGTGTGTACGTGTGTGTATGCGTATGTGCGTGTGCGCTTGTGTGCATGTTTACGAGCGCGCTTGCGTGTTTGTGTGTGTGTGTGTGTGTGTTTACCATAAACCGGTTAACATATTTTCTACATCTTCATAATCAAGATTTTTAAAGACGCGTTTACAAAATTGATAGGTATAGAATCGAACTATTACATGAGATATTATCATGAGACCTTACCTCCGGTCTTGATGGAGTGACCTCAAAATATAATTCGAGATTACTAGTGGAAATCTTGGACTAGTATAACTGGGTGTGCTGAGTTTGGGCTCGTTTTGTTAGTTATGATGAGTCCTTACCTCCGGACTTGCTGAAGTGACCTGAAGGTGTACTTCGGTAACTAACACTGTAACACCTGGACTAGTAGAACTAGGTATGCCGAGTTTGGGTTTGTTTTGTTAGTTATGATGAAACCGTCACAAAACAAAAGTTCTTTTCACTTTGTCTCTAGTACCAATAGGTATCCAAGCTGATATTCGGAAAAATGAATAACCTCGTAGTAACACATCTTTAGGGGCAGTATCGATATCCACTTACCAGCCACACTGTTTTTCGCTGTAACCAACTGTCCTTTATATGAGCCTCACTTGCCCTCACGCGGTACCCAATTTACTGCACTCCAGTGCACCCACCACCACCTCTGCCACCTACGCCTCCACATCTACCACCGCACCCCTCTCTAAGCCTTCGTTCTCCACCTCCGCTACCCCCGCTTCCACCATAAACTCTGCTTCATCCGCCTCAACAATAAACTCCGCTCCCTCCGCCGCCACCATCACGCGCCGTCACTATTCTTTCCGCCTTCAACACAATTCCCCGTTTCCACTATCTCCGATTTCACCACAAATTCCTGTCCTCCGCCTTCACCACATACTACGCTGCATTCAACTCCGCCTCCACGTCTCCATTCTCCGCCTCCATTTTCTGGACACACACACACACACACACACACACATACACACACACACACACACACACACATACACACAAACACGCACTCAGACGAACACACACGCACGCACACACACATATACACACAAACACGCACTCGGACGAACACACGAATAACACACGCGCGCTCACCTAAATACAGACACAGCACACACACACACACACACACACACACACACACACACACACACACACACACACACACACACACACACACACACACACCCGCACATACACAAACACAAAACAAGAGTGGATACACGCACACACTCGTACCCACACACAAAAGCAAACACACGAACAACAGTTAACACACGCACGCACGCACACACGCGCGCACGCGCACTCATACTAACACACACACTAAAAAAACAACAGTGCACACACGCACACGCACATGCGTTCACACGAACACACATGAACGCACATACACCCACACGCACGCGCTCACACAAACTCGCATAAACACACACACACACACACACACACACACACACACACACACACACACACACACACTCGAGTGACAAATTAATTTGTAATAAAGTACTATCCATCATCTTCTAATTGATCTATGACAAATGAATAAAATAACACAAATTCACCACACGATAACAAAAACTCGAACAAACGTCTTTCCACAATAAAACCTGCCAAAGTTTGATCCACAAAATCAGCAGATAACGCATATTCTTACCTTATTACTATAACTAAGTAGCCTACTGGGTTCTCTGTCACACACAAAACGCGACGTTGCCGCTTCGTGTTCGAGTACCTATTCGTCAATTATGGCTCCGGATCCACTTAGTCTAAGTAAATGTCGCATATAAATTAAATATACTCTGGATCTAAAAAATTTTTCACCTTGATCAACAAATGTTGGTCAAATCGCTGACGAGTATATTGAAATCCTGTTAGTGCAGATCCACCGACGTCACGCGCGCATCAAGAATGGATCAAAGTATATCAGTTTGTGCGACGAGGAGCTGAGCAAACACGTCAAATAGGTGGATCAACAATTGTTCTAACTTCTCACTGGATCAACATTTACCGTGAAAGGATGATTATAACGAAGTTTAGCATTCTTAACTTCTACCATGTGTGAACTTCACACATGTTTTTTTTAAATTATTATTGTAAATGTAACCTTTTACCCTCAGTATTATTACTGGAACAAAGATGCTCACGGGTCTAAGACCAGTGGACATTTATTAGGTCTTTATATAAATCTTTATTGTTATGTCAGTTCAGTCTGCAAAAATTTTCTGATAAATATTCTGTAAATTACCAAAAATTTATTTTGGTAGATTGAGTGATTTGATTGACTGATGCAAATGCTATGCATATAGTTTGGAGATTCCACATATGTTTTATTTCATCTTTGAGGTACTTAAACTTTGTAAGTTTTTCTAATATTGTTACCAGCAGATGTGTGCAGTAACACAGTTTAAAGATATTGTAACAGTTGGAAAACGAATGTACGTGGGCAGAGCAATGGTGGGGGCACTGCGGGTCGGGGGGCTGACCTTGTGCTAGTGCACTTCAACTGAGTGTGATAGACAATACATGCGATTAACCCCTTCGCTCTGACAGCGCGCGACATGTTATACTCCCGTTCGCTCGGGACCGTAATGGCGGGAAAATTTGCAAATTAGCAAATTTTTTGCTATATTGCAAATTTTGCTATATTTTCACTTTGAGACAATATTTATGGATAAAACTTACAGGATTTCTTGTTGAATGTATAAACTATCGAATAAAATTATTTTTGGTTGCTAGAAATTGTAATAAAATACGTAAATTACCCTGTATAGCTGTATAGTGGTATATACTTCAATTTTAGTGACAAAATTACTACTAACTTGAATTCTACACTTTTGTTTTTAGAGAAATTTATATGAAAATGTTTGGAAATATGTATATTTTTATGTTTTATGTGTTTCCATTCGTTACTCATACCAAAATATTAAAATATAAAGAAATTAAAAAAATTAAATAATCATATTTTATCTGTGTGACATTTAGAACAATATTTCTAAAATAGTTTTGTGTGAATTTGAAATAAATACAACGTCAAGTTATTTGAAATATGTAAGAAAACTATTTTTACTTACATTTTACACTAAAAATAAATGAGAATGTGAAAAATACCACATTTATGACCCAGCCGCCATAATGGGCCTTCCAGATTTTGAAGCACTTTTGGCAATTTACTTTTCACTTTTTATACCACAAATTATATATCTACGTGTTCACTATATTACAAGGAATATAAAAAAGTATAATACTTTCGTTTTTAGTCCAGACACAATTATAAAATTCTATAAAAAAGACGGAGCGCCTCCATCAAAACGACACGTGGAACGCCGAAAGTGTAGAGTGATTTCTTTTTTTTTTTTCTAAGAAACATTGCCAGGTTATGGTTTAAAATAAAAGAACATATCTTTGTCTTTGATACTATTATCTATTGCATATTGTCTTTGGTTTTGTTTTAAAGGAAAAAGTAGTTTTTTCATAAGGCAGTACTTCTGATGTTATCTGATCTAATTAGCCCCGTACTAGAGCGGGCGTAAGGTAGGTATTGTACGATCTGATTAGATTGGTAGCCGAGCGATAGGGTTAACATGAGCATGTTTTGTGTGTAATCAGTAATATAATATCTTTTCGTGACATCTTGTCTTAGAATTCCGTGACGACCCCTAGCATACACGCCGCCCGTGTAAATATATACGCGGACGACGGCATAGCCTGACATCAAAGGCGTTTCATAACTGTTAGATTATCTTTTAACTTTGTCAATCAATTCTTATCTATTGTATACAACACGTAACATAATTAATGCACTTTGAGAAAGTAGTTTGTTGAGAATCGTTTACTGAATCGATTCCTATCATTTTTATTATAGGTAATTTTTTATCCCAAAAATAATTAAAACTACGTAAATTACAGTCGCACTAAATCTGTACAGTCGAAACAAACTGAAATGTACCGTAACTTAAGGCAATTAGACTTTTAAGAGTGCAGTTTTATTTGTATTATTACCAATTCTGTCATTCAATAAAAATAAAGAAAAATGAATTTTATTTCAAGAACGTTAAAGTCTTTGGCGTTTGTGGATTTGAACTGTGACCACAACATTCTTCCGGAATTAGTATAACTAATTTGATTTTTGTTTTATATTGCAGGTGCTCGAATGGCAGCGCTCCCAATTGGATGTGACCGGTATAAAACGCGAGGGCGAACGTCGTCGACCGCGTCCAGAACGGCCAGAGCGTCCGGAACGTCCTGAACGAGGAGTTTCACCCGCTGCAATAGTGGCAGCTTTGGCTGACACCTCATCAGAGTCTGACTCTGAAGGCAGTTCTGAACCCCAACCCCAACGGCTGACGCTGTCCGAACGCTTCGGCAAGATGGCACAGTGGTCGTTAGACAGATCCGCGCGGCTCGAGAATATGCGGATTACAAGAGATACAAGACGAGAGACGTCTCTTCACGTGAGGATCGAACGCGCCGAACCGCCAGCAGCCCCGGGAGTCCCGGGAGATGTCCCCGCCGGAAGCTACCCGGAGGAGCTCCTCGCTGCAGCACCAGCTGGATTACCTTCATGGGATGATGTGCGAGTGCGATACGACTACTACAAGAAGCGCGGTTACTTACGAGGACTGACGCTGCCGGATTACGTGAAGTGGGAGGAGTGGTGGTACAAGTACCAGGAGTGGCTGAAGCGCGAGCGCGCGTACGAGCGCTGGGCTGAGGGGGGTGACGGTGTGGTGGGGGGTGGCGGCAGGAGGGAGAGGCGGCGGCGAGGGGGCCGGCACCGGCGCAGCTGAGGGCGCGCCGCCCCCGCAGCCGTGCTGGCCGTTGACCTGGCCAGCGCTCCTGCTGGGGGCCGACTGTGAGTACCACCACCACTTTTTTTTATAGAATAATAGTGACAAACGAGCACACAGTCTACCTGATAGTAAGTGGTTGTTGTGGCCCATAGACATCTAGATTTATCAATTAAGAATCAAAATGCAGATGCGTTGCCAGCGCTGAGGACTGAGATGGAATGCCTTGACCGTGGAAGGTCCACGCTCTCATCAAATACCAGCGTGAAACAGCAGCTCAATGATGTTGTGCTTTGTATGATGAGTGTAGAGAACCAGATACATTATTTACTAGAATCTAGGCGTTCCAACTTGGTTCTCAAAGCTGATAACACAAATATATTTTGATACTTAATGCAAGATAGATGTAGATTACCACTACATCCACAAATAAGCACACAGTCCACCTGATGGTAAATTAATACTGTGGCCTACCGATATCTACATCTATCCTAAATTAAAAAATCAAAATGCGAATATGTTGTCACTACTGATGGCCCTCGTTACCAATAAAAAGGGTCTATGATTGTCTACACTCACCATATGAAACACGGCAGTATTAAGCTGCTATTTTACGCTGGCATTCTGTGAGAGCGAGTCGAGCCGACAGTCATGCCACAACTATATAACTGCTGCATGGCTTTGTCATATCGAAAACAAACTAAATTTCATACCTGTGATTCTCTTGTTTTTTCCATCAAAACTAGACCATTTATGAGAAAAATATTAGTAGGATTGTGGCTATATCTATGATAAATTACCAGAAAAAAGGGTCAAAATCCACTTAAATTTGAAATACCACGTCCAAACATAGTTTCAGTACTCAAGAGCCTTAATTCTTTTTTAACGCTACCTACTCCATATAAAATGGTAGGTGTATGTTATAAAATCTTATATATAAATTTTTGTTTTGCAGATAAATTGGTTCGGAGAAATGAGACTGTTCCAACGTGGGTTAATAAGGAGAGCAGTCAAACCGTGCCAATTTTGTGTCGTTAAAGCCACCAAGTATTTGTGTTGACATTCAGACGTAGTATTTGTAGTGTTAAGTGATTGTGCGAGTGCAACGTGGGAAGACGCTTAAGTGGCTTCCGGACAACAGTATGTGATTGTGTTATTTGTAAATTTATCTTAGTAATGTTAATAATTATTCAATATTAGCTAGAAGGAAATGGATCTCCATAACACTTCTTTCTTTATCACACTTTAATGCACTACTGTATATTGGCGCTTTTAGGAATGCACCATCCGTAACTTTAAAAAACACACAAACACACGCCTGTATCCATATGGGGGGCGGAAACCAACAAACAAAAACCTTTTAAAAAATTGTTAAGAAGTGATAGGTGGGCAGCCCATCGGCTATGCAATCACAAACTCAATATTGCATTATTCGCCTACAAGAAACCAGTTATAGGCTATATGCCAAGACAAATGCATCAATCTTAAAAGACTTGCTATATTCACTACACAGTTCGGCTGGTTGAATTCAGACCTAATACTTCGTCCTGGGAACATTGCTTAACAACTTTGGTGATGGTATTTAAATATGTGACGTCTTTTGTTGTAGATTGTGAACCGACTCATAAAATTGCGAACTCTTATTTTAACCATGACTGACTTGACACTGGCAGAACTTTATCAAGAGAAGCCATAATTTAAAAGAAGAACATGGCTTTCCATAGTCAAGAGGTATTGTCAAGGTTATGGGGTTTAGCGTTACTCCAATAGATATAAATACCATTTTTGAACAGACTATTTAAAGTCACAATGCAATATACGATACCCTCCCTTCCCCTGTCCCTCCCTTTTGGAATACGCCCATGTCGCGCAGAATAATTATAGGCTGATGAAGAGAATATATAGAAATAGATACTTTTTTATTTAATATAGATTATAAATAATACTTATTGAAAGTTGTGTTTAATTTAGCACTGCTTAAGAATTAACCTGTCCTGGTAAGAACCAGCAAGAAGTCAATCTGGACTTCAATTTTAAAAGTCATTAAAGTCACACAGTAATTAACAATACAAAACAAGTTAGAAATAGCTCGGTAGCAATCACCTCACTCCCAGGTTCACTATCATCCATAATCTAATATTCTTCACTGTTGTACAAATTGGAGTATCAATATTTACTTTTTTTTTTTTAATAAAACTTATACGAGAGGTTTGTCTTTTTAAGCCTAGAATAATTGCTGCAGTTCTCAGATTATATTTAAAAGTATATTTAAGAGTTTTAAGGTGTGCTTACATGTTAGTTTTTGGTAAGATAGACTTTTCACTATGAATAATGGTCAGTTTACATTATTTTATTCTTTAGAAGAGTGATTCAGCAGATTACTATTTTAGTAGAAATGTGTAAATGGTAGATTTTAGTAATTAATACTACCATAAATCAGATTAAATATATATCTTAATCAGAGTAACTTAAATAAAAAATTTAAAAACCTCCGAAACAAAAAGATCTGATGACTTCAAACGGCTGAATAGGTTTTCTTGAAACATAGCTAAGAACACTCTCAATTAATATACATTTCAAGTGGAAACAACTTAATCAAAATCAGTCCATTTAGGCGATATGATGGCACAGACAGACAGAGATACACGAATATATAACACCCCTCTGTTTTCGTCATGGTTAAAAATAAAACAGATTTGCTTTTTAACCGAGTACACCAGAAAGGTTAATGTTTTTATATTCTATGTATGAATGTCTATTTCTTAGACACATTCAGTCTGGCTACAAAAAAGCATTTAAACACTGGTCCAACATGTGTTTAGTTAGACATGGACTTAAATGATAAACACATGTTAAAATATGGTTTAAATTTCGCTACCACTAAACCGTGTTTGACGCGTGCTTCTAATAGATAACGTTTATCTTTAACAATATAACTAATATTTTTGTAGAAAAAAGTTTGCTGAACCTATATTTTTTCTTAAACTTGGCGTCGTCGTATTTTTCAAACGGATTAACCCTTAAACTAACCGTATTACTTTCTCGGAACATTTCCGCATTCCATTTCCTCTTCATTGAAGTAACCAACAAAATCAATTATATCTATGTTAAATAAAATACTGAACTGACGGAAAGATAGGTTAGACACTAGTTAAACAAGGGTTTTCGGCTGTTTAAATTTAAACAACATCTAAGCCGCGTTTATCCATAAACCACCATTTGCTAAACACGTGTTGAACAGCTGTCTAACTTTTTTGTAGTAAGAGACTGTAGCTTAAAATGGCTTGATGAATTTGAACATATTACTTACATTCATCTTAGTTATGGAAGTGGTAAAGGATACAAAATTTTTCTCATTTTCATCACTGACACTTTTTACGCAGTTAGGTTTTTTAATCACTATATTAACCATTAGGTTAAGTTATTCTTGTTCCGAGCACTCGCATATGAGTGCTACTAATGTATTCTCCTGAAGCACTAATAAATATGTAAATATACAATAATGTAAACTGGCTATAATTCATGGATTATTAAGAAAAGTCGTTTAATTTGCGTCTGTATTTTATGAATAGTATACTAGTAGTAAATTTAAACGCACTGTGAATATATGCAGCCACTGCATAGATATTTATTGTTTAGTGATTTAGCGAATGGAAATGAGATTTTATAACTTGATTGTATAGTTTACTATTCTATAATGGTTTGTATATTTAATAGACATTTTGTTTTCTATTATGATCTATTTCATAATATAGGAAGTGGCTGTAAATCCTTAGCGTAAGGATTTGATGAGAAGTTTCTCGTAGAAATAGTTCTTCTATGCTTTTTCTCAGTGAAAGTAATGGGTTATACATAAAAATGAAATGTGTTTTAAATACAGAAACCGAAAATTAGTTGTATGATATTAGCTGTAGCTATGAACAAAGTAATGTTTATTACGTACATATTATATATAAGTCTATTTCATATTTACATGCTTATGTAATCTCGTTAGGTGATGTAGATTGGACTTGCAAGAAATATATTGCTGTTATTCCGTTTTCGTCTCATTCGATTGAATACCGAATATTTAAGTTATAGTCAGATAATTAGTAAAATGATAACATTTATTTTTTCATAATCATTAAAGTATTCAGAGGTACATAATTAACTTCCATATTATAGAATTAAAAAAGAACTATCGGATAAATGTTTGTGTGCTCGAATTATCGTGATTAAAGGTGGAGGATAATGTTGCGGAAAGACTAATTCTTCATCATTTTCATGCAATAATTTTGAGAAAAGACGCTGCTCTGAGTATGATAAAAAACACTACTTCCGTCCCGGCCGAAAACTTCTGCCTAACATTCGGCTATTCGACAAGGAAGCATACAGAGAGTATTTGTTGCAAGTCTAATGTAGATATACAATTAATAAATTGAGTATTATGGTATATCTTTAATTGATAGAACTTTATTAGAACTAACAGATCTTGCATAATATGTTGTGTATGTCGTAAAGCACATTGGATTTTTGGTTGGCGGATATTATTTACCCAATTATATTTTCTTTAACCGTCTTCAGACCAGCAAAGGACATAATACATTTCAAAAGTCACACACATCTTTTTGTTTTTGAAGTGAAAGCTTCTTTAGAATAGCTTTGATTTGAAATTCGATAAAACGAAAATCGTTACTAAAAAGAGAAACATATACATCTGTAGGAGTTAGCCTGCGGGAGAAGGAGATAGAATACAGTATACAGTGTTTCCTATTTATTATCTCGGTCTCCTCTTTTTGGAATGCTTTTATAACATGAAGTAAAATTACTGTCTTTAGTCAGTGCAATAATGTACGAAGTTTCGATTGTCCCGTGGTCGAAATTAATTGTTATTTAAAAGGATTAAATGAAAACTTTACCCAGCATTTTGTCCCGACTTGTAGGAGGGATCTTGATATCTTCTACTTTTAGTAAAATATATGCGAAATTGTATATCAATTTTAAATTATGATTTAATATTG